TTAAAAGGTTATACGACTTACTTCATTACAATAGTAATGTAATTACTTTAGAAATAAATGTATGTAAACATTATTAATTGCAAATACCGTTCCTTAGAATCTCTTTCGGAGTTTTATTGGTTTGAAAACAATTATAAATAGATTTCTGTGTTTTAGTCATCACTTGGATATTAGTCCACGAAATACACACCGAATGTATGGTCTCTCTCGACATACCATTCCTATTGTTGGCAATTATTTCCGACATTTCTATCATTTTATTTATTTTAAAAATGAATAATAAAAGTCTTTTTAAAACAAAGTCTTATATTTATTTAATTATTATATCATTTATTTTTAATATTATCTAATATAAATTTTAATAAATTGAATGATTGTGCTATTTTTAAAACATATTTTTTTAATTATAAATATTAGTTCGTGTTTAGCAAAATTGTTTTTAAGTGTGCTTGCTTGCAGAATAAAACTAAAATAAAATAACTTATGTCTTATTATTTGCACTATACATTTATTTATAAATAAATCCCTAATATCTATTACATTATGACTATGTATTATTTATTGTCCCAGATATATTTATAAAGTCAGTCAAGTGAATCTGCAACGATTATCTGTTTAATAGCTGGCTTATTAATTGTAGCAAAAATCTATACTTTGGCACACTTATAGTTCAATATGAGGTAGCCTGGACAAAATAAGAATATTCTTTATGGCATCAAGAATATTCTGTGATAAAGATAAATATCTTATTAAAATGATTATAAGATTTTTGATGTCATATTAGGAGTCAATTAACTTTATAATCAAATTCTTTCAATTGAAATATTGTTCTCTAATTTTATTGTAATAAAAACATTTGCTTCAAATGTTAATTTTGTTTTTATTATATCAATGACTGTTAAGATTACATAAAGCATAAAGTCTTATTTTTAAATTGTTAAACTAGAAAATTATAAAATTATTTTTATATAACTTATAATTTGTTTTATTTTGTAAAAAATATTAAAATTAATTAATATAATAATCATTCACTTGCGCCTGACTTTCAAACATAAGCCAATGTAAGCCAAACACATATAAACCAAAGTCCAGGCCATGAGGGCTATGGGACACCACTGGAGACCCGACGCATCGAAACCCATGGATTCAATGACTTCTACTCCAGAGGTATAAGTAGTCGTCGATNATGACTTCTACTCCAGAGGTATAAGTAGTCGTCGATTGAGTGGTGTTTGTGGTGTCGGACGACATGTTTCCCACATTTCGCCACTCGTTTACAACCAATGATTGGTATCCGTAATATTCAAATGATAAGTACTGCAACCAATCCAACCACCCTGGTAGTGTGCTAAATAATTGATCATGAAATAGCATTTATTGCCCAATTAACGGTATAATATAATATTAAATAAATTACCCGATGTTAATAAGATATCCTCCCAATACACTCAATGGCGTCAAAAGTGCTCCGAGTATTGCATTGGCTGTCATAAAGTCCCGGCTTAGTGTAGAAATTAAAAATCCTATATTTATTTTAATTGCAATAAATAATTAATAATTAGTATTTAAGCAATTTTATTCAAATGAGGCATTTGACTTTATGATTTTTAAAAAATTATCTAATATTGTAAAATTAAAAATGTAAAAAATATTTAACATTAGTTTTATAACATATATAATCAAACTAAATACAATATTAATTTATTAATAAAATTTAAGTCTATTCAATACTTAACCCCATTTACCCACTTTATTGGTCAAGTAGAATTTGATTTTCTAAAATATACGGACATTAATAATAATGATTTATTACCGAAATTCCAGGAGCAACATGTGGCCAGGATAATAACACCAAGGTAAATGAAAAATGCTTGTGCACTCGGATATAAACCAACGATGAAATAGAAAATCGTCAAATAAATACTCATCAGTATTGCATTTATAGCCAACTGTTCAGTAAATATATATAATATGAGTTACTCACTGCAGAAGTTTGTTTATTATTTATACTTATTTGATATAATTTGTGAATAATGTTATGTTAACATTTGGTTAAATTAATTATTTCACTGCAAATAATACGAAAATAATGTGTTTTTCATAAATCTTTCTCAGAGAACGTGTTATGAAAACTGAGAGAATTTATTAAAAACTGCTTCTCGTATGTAAAGTACAGAATTAGTTTTTAAAGGTATATCTCGTACTATAAATGAAATTATTTAAACAAGTTCTCTGAGAAAGCTTTATAAAAAAATCTCTTCGTATTATTAGCAGTAATATAATATTAATAATAATAAATAAATATGATACTTAAACATTACCTGGTTAATAATGGTCGCCAATATATATGGGAACACAGCGTACGTACGGTTGTGGTGTTCCCTACAAAGTAAGGCTTCCTCTCCTATTAATGTCTATAATATAATAGAAATTTATGTTTATTTTAAAACTTTTATAAATTTTCATATATTAATGTAGAAATGAACAATTTATTGTACTATTGTGTAAATAGAAATTTACATTATTCTCCAATTTAAATGTCAAAAATCAAAAATCAAATCGTCAAAAATATAAATGAATTGTAAATGTTTTTAAATAATAAACAATAATTGTTATTATATTTAGTTGAATAAGTTTAAAATGAAATAATAATGCTTACGGTTAAAGCGACCATTGCCTGTAACATTGTATTTTGCTCTAATATTATATTAAGAGCCCCTTTGATATTATCGACGTTGGAGTAGTCATATCCCTGTCCGTAGTAGAGTACCCCAAATACTACTGTCAGACACTGTGGGAAAAACAAATTGAAAAATTTGTATAAATTACAGTAATTGTATATTAATTTCTAAATCGTAACTATCATTATAATGAGCCGAGATTGTATTAAATTGGGATTTCGTATGAAAACAATATATGATCGCCACAATACAGTAACCAGTTGTCGCCAATAACCGGCTCTATAGCCCGATCCCAGTGTTGCCAGGTTTATTTCAGACATAGTATCCACATCATATTCAGTGTTAATTGTATTTCCATGACTCCATTCGAGATAATTGTCACAAATTTCCTAAATATATATTAAGACAATATAAATATAAATATATATATAAATAACTGGTTAAATGTATTAAATGACTGAAAACTTCAAAGTCGGTCATAAGTCTGAAACTTAATAATACATTGGTTTTTACATTTCATATACAATTTTTAATAGAAATTAGTAATTTTTGATATATAGATACTTTAAATATTTTTTATTTCTATAATACAAATTACTAAGGAAGATGCATACCCCTTAACCAACATATTTGTCGTATATTCGGTTTTTTTTATTATAACTGATATTATTAACAATTCTTATAGAACTTTGGACGAGGAGTCTGAATATGTAATTTATATTGTCCTGTGACCTCGGGTTCGATTGCAGTGACCACTTATATCGGGAAAATTTTCATAATAAATTATACCCATGTGATATATCAATTCAATAGAGATTTTAACAGAGAATGCGATTGTATATGCAAAAATTTTATAAACCTGAGTAATCATGCAAATAATGTAGAATTTGTGACTAAAATTATGAAAATCACAATATTTCATTTAAATCTAGAATTTTCTATATTATTATTTACACGGTCATATTTAGAGTGAAATTCTCTATTAAATTGATATATCACATAATAATGTAGAATTTGTGACTAAAATTATGAAAAATCACAATATTTCATTTAAATCTAGAATTTTCTATATTATTATTTACACGGTCATATTTAGAGTGAAATTCTCTATTAAATTGATATATCACATATCCATATTTATAAGGGAAATATTTCCCATTAAAAGTGGCCACTGTAGCTGGCCACTATGCAATAGAAATTACATAGTTTTAATTCTGGTAGGATGTTCAGTAAAAATTAAACAAATTCCTGGTTGCCAGTTGAGAATCTAGTTTTTATTTTAATGGGATTAGTCATAATGTCCAATTTTATTGGAAAATATTTCCGTCGTAAATATGGACATGTGGTTTAATGATTTGGTAGAGAATTTTACTCTGAATATGAAGGTGTAAATAATAATATAGAACTCAAGATTTAAATAAAATATTGTGATTTTTCAGTTTTTGTCACTAATTCTACATTATTTACATGATTACTTAGGTTGATTGAATTTTCACATATACCATCGTATTCTGCATAAAAATCTCTATTGAATTGATATATCACATGGGCATATTAATTATTAAAATTTTACAGGTATAAGTGGCCACTGCGCCCGAACTCGAGGTCACAGGACAATATAAATTAGATATTCGGACTCCTCGTCCAAAGTTATATAAGAATTAATAATTATTTCCCGGGTTCCAGCTTAGGTCAAATTCAAACGTGTTCTTTGTAAAATTTAGCGTTATTTTTAATTTTATTAAATAAATAATAATTTATTTTAAATCCTCATGTTCGAATTGGTCAGAAAAATAATTTTATTTGTTAAAATCTATTGAGAATTAAGAAAATAAAGCACCTATTTAAATTCCCCTAGCGGCTAAACCGTTCTATGAAAGTTGCTCATTTTTACATATGTTATATGTTTTAATGACCACTAAAAGATTAGCTAATAAAATTGACCGGGAGAGCTGGTCAATTAACCCATGGACCGAGAAACATCCTCCTTTATAGTCTGACACCTGATCCTGTCATATAGAAACGATTTATGGCCAGAGCACCGGGTGATGAGCTGGACATTAGGTTCTTTGATCGACGTCCCAATGAGTAGATAAGTTGTGGACACAATGAATAAACCCAATGATAACAAACTAACCATTTGTTTAACAAAGACTTAATTCATTTACAATGAGTTGTGCACTCAATGCGTGCTTATTATAGATTCGTTGTATGGCATAGAGAAGCCATGCCTTATACATGAGATAATGATCCAATGGTCAATATCTGTAAGTTCAATACGACTTGTATGGAAAGTTCTAGTGGTGTACGTAAGGTACAGGTATGATGACTCAGCCAGAGGGTAGCCAAGGATAGCAACTATGAACTCATAGGATTGCGTTAATATATATATAAAATCAGTCAACCAACTTTCTAATACATCAAAAAATTGTGATATGGGTCATCGGAAAGTATAATGCCAGATTTTTAAAAATATTTATTATGTAAATATAACATTTTTATAACAAATAACTAAAACTTTATTGGAAATCGTTAAAATACATTTTACTGTACTATACTATAGATTGGCTTCGGAGTTGCCATCGATGGCCATGTTGTATGTATTGTTGCCGGACATTATGTATATGTATAATAGGTATACATTTGTAAAGTTGAACTTGATGGTAAATTGCTCGATACGTCTTTCATGGTTCGTTAGATAATTGCAAATCTCATGTTGAAAGTCCTTGGTAAAATTTCTAAACCAATGCTCCATTACGATAAAATCACTTGTATAAGGATCTTCATAATCTTTCGAGATGACAAAATATTTAATAACTCGCTTATTACTTGCAGCTAAAATCTATACTCTGGCACACTTATAGTTCATTATGAGGTAGCCATGAATTAACAAGAATATTCTGTATGGCACCCGGAATATTCTGTGATATTAGATG